AGTGAGCATGAAAGATGATGATATTATGACCTGGTTGATGCACGGGGGAACTAGCTCAGTGGGTTGAAGTCAGCGAGCGGCTACGGATGTTGTGAGACATCTCAGACAGTTTCTGTGCTCTTTTTACATTCTAATGACTCTCAATTAGGGATGGGCGATATGATTATATTTAGGCAGCGATATGAAGTGTCTCTTAATAATGACATCGTTGTATTGTTTATATTGCAGTATGCAAATATGTCTGAGTAACACAGGATTGTTTACATTTTTTTGACACGTTAGAGTGATAAAACGGCATGCATGAATGAGAAATAAAACAGTGTGATGTGCATTATGTTAAACAGAGTTAATCGGTCTCATTCATGAAACATTCGTAAGTATACAAGTAAATATGAGAGTGATTTGAGCGTAAAGAGACCTTCCCGATAGTGAAATGTGTGTGTGTTAATGAATTCCAATCAGTCGTAAATGGCATGCTCATTCTCAATTACCATACATCCCGCCCATTAAATCCGACTGACAACTATGGATGGGATATTATGACTCCAAAACAAAGGATTTCGACGTGTCTTCTCAAAAGCGAATGAAAAAGAAAAATTTCTCAGGTGCAGAAACCAAAGTTTTATTATCAGAAGTGCTTTCCAACACCACATTGTATTTTCAAGCGTAGGCTACATACATAGTAGCGTATCAAGTCCTAAAAAAAGGAAGCTTAGCAGCACATTACAGATGAAGTTAATAGAGTTCTATCTGTTAATCAAAAAGAAAAAAACGTATAATATTTTTTTCAAAATGCTGTGTAAATATATACCCGACTAAGGTGAATTAAAATGCAGCCTTAGTTGTTGAGCAAAACGTTTGTATGTTAAACTAACCATTTACGCGTGGCTGTTGCAAACTTGCATTGGATTTTCTCCTTAGCATAAAGGTTGAGAGGTCAAAATAGGAAAGAAGAAAAAAGAAAAAAGAAGAGGCAATCACTGCTTTTGACTGAGCAACTTAAGAAATAGCGTATATTTAATTCATACAGCGAAGACGATGCAGTGTTTAATTTTACATTAGATGATTCAATTTCTGTAGTATTCCTTATTTGAATGCTACTGTCACATAGACCTACTGTACATGTTGCTGTCATTGATTCATTGTATTTGTCCAATTGTTTATATTGTAATATTTATCATTATTATTGTGACATAAAATGACTTAAATTGTGAAATAAGATTTTGGTCATATCGCCCACTCCTACTTTCAACATTTCATTTTGTATGAGACGTGCCTACTTGTGTTGACTAAAACTACCACTACAACTCAAAAACTGAAATAAAATAAAAGAGGAAAGGTGCTCTTAGGGTTTCTTCATACTGATCTGAGAGACTACCGTAGTTTATGTTGGGCAACAGGGACTAGACTAAGATCAGTACAGACTTTAAGGATGAACTCAAAAGGTGAGAACACCCACACCGACCTCTCTCTCACTATAATCAGAAGATGGCTGGGGAGAATGCACCTCTGTCCTGTGGGAAACACCCGGCTGATAGAGGAACGAGAAATGGATGAAACACTTCCAATGAATTAAATCAGAAGAAACGAGGGAAATGATGTTGAGGAAAAAAATGTGTTTGCATCAAGTCCAAGATTTTTCATACAAGGTGTGTGATGACAACACAAACAATTCACAACCATCTTGGATATATTTGACTAATGTTGACACTCATTAAATGCATAAAAAACAAGTGGTTGTAAATAACATCACATTGCTGGGGCTGTAAATGTACTCGTAAATGGAAGTAGCTGAAGCAGCCCTTTGTTGGTGTGAAGAGTACATTGGTTTCCCCCTACTAAAATACAGATCCCATTTAGACAAATGAAATGGCACGATATGAAAGTGTCTGCTTCTTCTTTCACTTAGTTTAATTACCGTATCTGATTCATCGCCCATCTGCAAGTGTTGCAAGAGAATAAAAGACAGAGGAACAAAAAGAAAAAAGAAAAAGAGAAAGTCAAAAAAGAGAAAGAGAAGACCAGAAGGGAAATACAGACAAGGGAAAGTTAACTCCAATTATGCTAGACCATCTGTGATTTCTCAACAGACACAATTACACTGGTTAAGGGACTTTGGATGTGTGTTTAAGGGTGAGGGGCTGATCTGAGATCAGAATCCACTTGGATGATCTCAACTTAGTTAAGTAGCTCTGGAACCGGTCAACAGTGACACTAAATAAATGTCCTACAACACATGTGCAAGCTGAACAACTGACAAACACGCACACAGACTGTTAAAGGAACAGATGGGTATATTCATTCTAGTAATCACTCTGTGTTTCCTCTTCATTAATCTGATTTCACCATGAAGGAATGATTATGTTTGGAGTAAAGTGAGAGGCAGCATGAGATAAACATACCAGACTATCCAGACCTCCTCCCAGTAGGTCCATGGCTCCCATCTGCATTGAGGGCTGCACTGAAGGGACAGTGGCAGTGGGCGGGGCCAGATCCAGGTTCAGCAGGTCACCCAGGAGATCACCCTGTGATGGAATGACAGCGGATGGAGCTTCAGAAGGTCCAGACTGGCCAACATCAGGGCTCTCAGCACTCTCAACACTAAGGAGAGAGAAATTACCATTTATTAAAAACATAGATGCATCTTTTTAATAAAAAAAAAAAAAAAAAGTCTAGATGTATTAAAACACATTTTAAAATAAAATATGTAAAATGTAAAATACAACTATTAACTGGAAATAAAGAAAAGAAAATGAACTGAAAATTGAAAAATGAAATAAAAATAAATGAAACCTAAAAAGCTATATTTAAAAAGTAAAAGAAATGGCAAAAGCACATAATAAAATGACTAAAAATTAAACTAAAATCAACATCAAAACTAAATAATATAGAAATACAGCTAATTCAAATTTTTTAATAAAACTTATCTTATATATGTTATTAAATTTTTCATTAAAATTACAGTTGTTTGTGTTTACATAATATATTTGTGTGTGCTGTGTATAATTATATTCTATGTATAAAATACACACACGCATGTATATATTTAAGAAAATGTTATTATTATTATTATTATAATATAGATTATGTATTGTATATATATATATATATATATTAGTATGTATATATATATATGTATATTATGTATATATATATATATTGTATATATGTATATATATATATATATATATATATATACAGTATATATATACTCTATATAATTATGTGTGTGCAGTATTTATGTGAAAATAATTCTTAAATATATACAAAATAATTTTACACAGCAAACACACATATTATGTAAACACAAACTTTTATTTTGGATGTGATTTAAACGCAATTAATCTTTGCACAGCCCTAATATATAAATATATAAATAAATACTTATAATAATTATAATAATTGTTACTAATGCATATATAAACAAATCTTTATACTTTTCTGTATATAAAATAATATAAGAAAAGAAACAAATTAGAGACTCACGAGCCAACACGAGGAGGAAGTCTCCTATGCTGAACGCCACGGCTGCCCTCCACAAAAGCACTGGGGGGTTTGTGGTAGACTGAGGCCAGAGTACCAATGTGGCAGATGAGCTCCTCCAGCAGGGTGGGCTCAATCAGGTCTGTCTCCTCTGAGATCAGAGGCTTCTCAGCCAGCACCACCTCTTTAGCTGCCACAGGGTCTGTAGATAACAGACGCCAGTAGATGTAGCCACGGTCGCGCAGATCAGGGTTATCAGAATCCTGCAAAGTTAAAAACAAGCAAAATTCAGGGAAAGTGAAAGTGGCCAGTTGAAAACCAAGGGGAATTATATGCTATTTATGATGTGAGAATATAAGGAAGAGAAAATAAAGCAATACAAGTGACTGTTTTTTTCAACAACAACAAAAAAATCAATTGAAGGACAGTCTTATGTAAATAATGCATAACTCCTAAGCACCAATTCATCTATGTGATAAGATCAAGTAGAGCACCAGCAAAGCAAAACAGCGGTGAGAGAATTAGATCTGGAGGCCATAAAATGGCACCTGGGATAAAGAAGGACATTTGGTATTCTGCGAGTACAGCCTGTGGCACTGAATCTCAAAGTTAATAATGACAAGATGCAATCTCAGATCCCAGTTTGACAGCACAAGTTTATGGCTTCTCTGAATATTAATGAGATCACACAAATGCTCCCTAGCCCTTACACACAAACATGAAACTATTCTAAGTAATCAATATTTTCAATGATTTGTCAGGCCAAATTAAAGCGCATCAAAACTGTATTTATCATTTGAATTTTGTGATAGTCTTTCAAATTCTGTAAGTTCAGAAATTTTGTATTGAAAGTAACAAAGCCCATTGTTATTGTATGAGAGTCATGCTGACATAAAACAATGTTTAGTGAAGTTTTGGTCATGCATCAACAGGCTTTTAATTACATAGAATTCACATTTTTGTAATCACATTTTGATCAATGCACCTACATACAAGATCAACCATGATTGCTGTCTTGTTCTGATTGGTTCTTGTTCATCAAGCAAGGATACGAAAGGATCTGCAGTGCTCTCGAACACTGAACATATTGTAAGTGTCCATATTCTGTAACAGAATTGTTTAATTAAAAGGAAAAGCTTGTAAAGCTTCTAATGATGCAAAACAATTGTTAATTACCCTAGTGAATTACAGTGATTTAGAAACAATCCAATTCATAACTGGCACAGAGGAAGAAAGCAAGGCTTACTAGCATTAAAAATGTATGTTTAATAAAAATAAATCTGTCAGAATCCTGCTGTTTTGATCTAATGCAGGGTTTCAGGTTCTGGCCCAAAAGCTCTGGCAAGTTTTTCTTTTGTGTTCATTTTCTTGATATAGGGTAAAATGAAACCACACAACCCAGACAAATTATTACTTAAATTTACTAATACATTTTTAAAATCTGTTAACATTATTTAATACTCAATGTGTTGATGTTAGATAACACATTAAGTAAAGTTAATGAATGGTATCTTATTGCAGTGTTACCAAACTATACAGGAGATAAAACGTGTTTTATTTGACTTGACTGTACTTTTATTTTTATTTAACAGTGTTCATTTTTATTTTTAAAAGGGCTTTTTAAACCTGCCAAGAATTATCCAGCCATGGATAAGCCTTGAACTGCTTTCTGATGCACTAATAATGACATAAATAGGGATATATAGAAAACTGTAGATATATAGCCATAATATAGAATGCAACATGTTATTATTAACCTAACTTTCAAATAGACAGAAAAAAAAAACATGAACGTCCAATTGGCGTCAATCAACACCAATTGTTTTTTACTATGGTTTCACACACATTCACTTTTTGAAACATTGAGGCACGGATGTACCTAATACAAATAAATAAAACATCTCCAGTTAACTAGCAGATTTCATTCATTTAGTTCCCTATTAAATAAGAGATCTAGCGCTAAAATCTGCTGTTTTTGAAATCAAGCTGAGCGCTCATGTCCGCTGCTATCCGTTCCATGGACAACGCGCTGCGCGAGTTGCACGATCCTCACTCGGACGCGCGCTTCAATCTATCACCGTTACTGAGATTCTCTATTCATCCCGGAGAAATCACAAAATAAAATGCACACAAACGTGTCCTTGCTTGATATAGGCTGTAACCACTGATGAACATTCATGTGACAAAAAACAACCGACGAGCTTCCGAAGAGAACAGCAGATCATAGCTGTACAGGCCAGGGCACCTTTTTATTTCTCATCTCTATAATACATCTAGTAGTAAAACTTCTGCAAGGACTAGAAATCAATTAATTCTTTGCTGATACTCCTCATCCTCATGGATAGCGCAGTTCATATCACTTTCTTCTTTCCAAAAGCACTTGCTCTCCCGTGGCGTCTGTCGTTGCTATGCAACCATGAATGAGCGCGCTTGCCGCACCTACATTTAAAATAACCATTTTGCATGCGCAAAAAACGAGCTGTGAACGGCCCTTTATGGCAACGTGGCATTAGCCTAATCGAAAATATTTCCATGTGTGGCTCTTTCCTGCTTTCTAGTCAACAAGTGGATTCCGAGCCACCGAATTAGCAGCACTGCCAGTACCAATGTCACAGTGTGTTTAGGTGTGTAAGTGAAGTGAATGTCATGATGTTACTGATCATGTTAAGATTTTGCAGCAGCGCTGAAAATCCATGGTAGGGGAAACACTGCTCTTGGTTTATAATCTTCTTTTGTTTCTTGTGAATTTGACATTCATTTGAGACATGTTTACAAATCAAAAGTAATGTTTTCTGATTTGATGATCCTCTGTCTGCCTGTGGTTACAAAAAGCAACAATTACATCATGTTGTTAAAAAAAGATAAATACGTCAGGGTGTTGAGCAACTGTGAATATCTTGTTCTCTTTGGAGTGATTCAGCAAGCCAAGCAGCTTTGCTTATGAGATGTGCACTTTGAGGATGGCAACAACACCTCCAGAGAGTGCCCTTGAAGGTGTGAGCAAGTATAGGTGCAGTGTCATTTTCTCACTGAAATGTGTGCTTTGATAACCATCTGTGTGGACATCTCACCTGTGTGGCGAGACTGAGCACTTGTTGCACCAGCTCCTGGGTCTCGGTGGGTTTCTTCAAGAACAACTTCACAATAGCTGTCAGCAACTGCAACTGCACCTGAGAGGGGAGCATGAAAAAAAACTTAACACAGGGACAAATCCTGTAACACTACCTCCCAAAAGACAAGTTCATGCAAGCTATTCACTAGAGTATTATGGTATGAAAAAAAAAATATTAGAAATTCTAAAAAACAATTTTCATACTACCACAGCAAAGTCTCCCTATTCCTCTGTGAGAATTCTTTATGCTCTTAATACAATGCTTACATAACACAAGTCTGCTTAAAGGGTTAGTTCACCCAAAATTATGTCACTAATGATTAAAGCCCGTAAGATTTAGTTTAAGATATTTTAGATTCAGTCCGCGAGTTTTCTGTCCCTCCATTGAAAATGTGTATGGTATACTGTCTTTGTCTAGAAAGGAAATAAAGACATCATCAAAGTAGTCCATGTGACATCCGGGCTCTGCATGGTGTGTTCCGGGCTTAAGAGTTAAGTTCATCTTCAGAACACAATTGAAGATTTTTTTTTAATGAAATCTGAGCGCTTTCTGACACAACTGACATGTATGCCATATTCGCATGGGATTAGTATTATCTGGTGACCTATAGTAATTTGTAATAATTGCGGAGTTTGTCTGTGATCTTAATCCTGTGCGAATTGGCCATGTCTTTAATATGTAAAGTAAAAATTCCCTCGCAAATTACCTACTATATTTCGCCGAACACCGAGGTACTGTGATAATATCAGCCCCGTGCGAATCGGCATCTCTGTGTTTTGGCCGTATCGTACAGCATTTTTTCATGGTTTTTGTTTCATGTGCACTTTTTTTTATCCATCTTTTGCGGAGAATGGAGGCTGCTTTGGAGTGTTTTGAAAGTATTTCTGGTGCTGGGTCATATCGCTATCCACAACTACACAATTTGCAGAAAGTAAAAGCTGAAAATCATCAGAAGAGCAAAAAGAAAATGAATGATTAGATAGAGATGAATGACATGTATAGCAACATGTGGTAAGGAACTTTATTCTGTTTATGTCATAATATATCATACAGCTTGACCTATAACGAAAATAAATTTCCAAGCAATAGCCTATTGACGTCATATCGGGGAGATAAGTCAGTAAATTCGAGAAAAATCACAGGCTTCAGTTATCCCCTGCGAATGCGCCACATGAAATTCAGATGTGGCGAGGTAATTTATAAATCACATGAGGTCCCCAGATAATACTAATCCTGTGCGAATAGGGCTTTAGACACTTCAAAAAGTTCATTAAGAGATTGTAAAACTAATCCATGAGCGGTTTAGTCCAAAGAAAAGAGACACTACTGCTTTATATGAACAATAGATTGAATTTAGGCTTTTATTCACATATAAACATTTATCAACTCGCAAATCAGTTGTGGTAAATGAAAGCTCAAGCATGTTAGCTTGACGTGCGAGCATAAATGAGGTTCATTCTCATGTGTTACGCTTGCGTTCTCGCATGTCAAGCAGGTTCGGTTGAGTCTCTGTTCATCATATAAAGCGATCGAGCATCTTCTGAAAATTTGAACAAAACCGATTAAATCATATGGATTAGTTTTACAATCTCTTTATGAACTTTTTGAATCGTCAAAGTGTCCGTTGCGTAGCTCACTTTGGGGCAGAAAGCTCTCAGATTAAAAAAAATAAAAAATCTTAATTTATGTTCCAAAGATGAACAAAACTCTTACTGCTTTGAAATGACATGAGGGTGATTAATGACACAATTTTCATCTTCAGGTGAACTATCCCTTTAATACAATAGAAAAAAACAGCTGTTTCTTATTTCATAAGCAAACATTTTAATAAGTGATTTGAAAGGCACTTCACCTGTGTGCTCTCATCATGAAAGCCTTCCAGGAAGCTCTCCAGCAGCTCGTCAGCATTGTCAATCCTCTCTGCGTACTCTCCCACAATCCAGATCATTGCTGCCCGGGCCTCAGGCTCATCCAGAGAGTCGAGGTTCTCACACAGGGTGGCAATCACGCTCTCGTACCTAGAAGCACAATAAAGAAGAAAGCCACAATGAAGCTGCAAAAAATAGCAAAATTACATAGTGGGGTGGGGGGGAGGCTGGGTTCAGTGAATCTTTATTAAATGTTTCTTAAACACATTTGAGAATGAAAGGCAGGGCAAAACAGAGGCTGAGCCAGGACAATTGACCTCTAACATCTGAATAACGAACCTTAGCCAAACAGAAATAGGATTCAGTTTTGAGAAACAGCTTCATTGGCAATGTATAGCAAACAGATGAGAAACCTACTTGTTGGGGTACTTTCGGAAGATGTCCTTGATGACCACAATAGCTTCCTGCACCACATAATTGACCTTGGTCTGAATGAGGTCAAGCAGCGTGCTGACACAACGCTCTGCTGATTGCTGTAATGAAGAAAGGAGAGACCAAAAGACAGATCAGCTGATTTGCATAAATGGGATCGTGCAAAAATTAACCAATTAAGCAGTAGGCTTTTGTTTCACATCAGGTTGAATCCTTTCATTAGGAGCGGTGCACTTTACAATTAAAATGAACATGATTGCCATTGTTAACACTATTACTAAATGAATTAACTCTGGCCATCTGTTATCTTATTCAGGGTTAGGCCAGCTCACCTCTACTTTAATAGCGCAGCGGCCAATGGCTCGTACAGCTTTACGCACAAAGTCTACGTCCACTTCAGTGGCGTATTCCTTCAGCTCAGCCAGCACCTACACAACCCAAACACACATACGTTTAACAGACTCTCAGAAGCACATTTCAAATGTTGATGTGACACAGTGAGCTTCAAAAGTGAGTGATGTTGACAAATAGGATTGAAAAACGTTTGCCATTTCAGCTTCACAGGCTATTTCATGGTAGGTACAGATTCTACATTCAATAAATACAAACATTTTAAATTAAAGTATTTAAATTTGAAACAGAAAAACTACTAAACAAGTGTAGTACATTAAAGGTTCTTTATTTGTACTTGATAAAAATCAGTCAATCGAAAATTGGGCAGATCAAAAATATGCCTTTTAAAAAAAGAAAAACTTATTTCATGCATTTTCAGTACAGTTGTCATTAAAGCAAAAGAGTGACAAACCAAATACTAAGACATTCTGATATCTGACAGTTGTCAGGTCACTTTTCACTCAAATTATTATGTTGATAATATAAATTGTATCAATTAAACACAACAGAAGTATTTACAATAATAATCTCAGACTTTTGGACTCCACTGTATTTGGGTGGTGTAATATATAAATGTATGAACATAAAGGATCAGTGTGAGTGCGCGTTTTATTCACCTGAGCAATGTTGGCCTGAGACGCAAGGCGGATCATGATATCCAGCTTCTCCAGCTTGACATAGATCGGATCATTATATTTCACAAAGAATACCTTCATTTCATGCTTTAGAATTTCAGGCCTGGTAGAAACAAAAATTAAAATGTATATATTTTTTTAAATCCCCAAATCTTCACCACTTTGATTAAACAAATGTATTTTCCTCAGCTTTACACCTACCGTTTCTGTACGATGAGGTTGATGTTCCTTAGGGCAACATACTGCAGTTCAGGTTCAGCTGAGAGGAGCGTGACCAAGGGAGGAGCAAGTTTCTTTAGCAGGGTGCCGTAATAATCTAGATCTTTAGGAAGCATCTCCATGAACTTCATCAGAACCTTCACGGCAGACAGCACCACGGCAGAGTTGGCGTGGGACAACCGTGGAGTTACACGCTCACAGATACTGTGGGAGGACAGTGAGACCAATGCTTCAACAAGGCAAATCTTTAAGGGTAAATACACACTCACTGCGTAGTTTCGGTTGTATAATGATTTCCAAATAATTACAATCTACATTTGAACAATTCTTAAAATCCCTAACCGAATCAACACTGATTCAATTGTAGGTCAATTAGATTCAGATTTAGATTGGGTAATCAATACCAATAACTACACTGAATCAGCTTTATTAGTGAAGCTAGTGTCTATGTATTGTGTAGACTTCATTAGAGAATCAATTTAGAGTCCATCACACAGGAGTGATGAAATAACATTGCCCTCTGACCTCTGTGACTCGCGGTCGTCACGGGGTGTGTAGTTGGCCAGGCAGTCGAGGATGAAGATCTGACCCCATTCAGTGCATTCATTAAGGGCTGTCAGAAGCTTATTAATGGTCTGAGGATTCAGGTCCAGAAGGTTGCTGTTAGGATGAGATTCTGCTATCTCGGACAGAGCCGCAACTGCATTTGCTACCACCTAATGGAGGAAAAAACAAAACAAAGTCATTAAACTCAATACAGTGGTAGTGTGTGTGCACGGGCTCAGGTTTCGCACAACAAAAGCATGTAATTACACACCATGGAGACTAAGAGAGAGAGCTAAATGACACTGCCATGCAGGGTTGTGCAGGAGTACTGTGATGTGTGACAGCAACAATCAATCATGAAAATAATGATCGCCGTGACTTTAAAAAATATTTATTTTTTTATCTTATGGGCTATTGCGGCATTTTGGGGGGTACCTGAGGTCTGACTGGTTAGAGTTTGGACAGCATGCCATCCAGTCTGAATAATAAAAGGGAAACTATGGATTTGTGATGCCTAGAATCACTTTGATTATGAAAAACAGTTAAGTGCAAGATGTGCAAGGACAATCTGCCATATATATATATATATAATATTATAATGAGTTGTTATACTACACTATTGTAATATAATGTCGTGAATTCTTTGTGTTTCAGTGTTACTGTTATGGGAAGAGCACATCCGCAACAGAAGCTAAAGGGATGGTTCACCCAAAAATAAAAATGGTCATCATTTACTCACTCTCTGGTTGTTCCAAACCTGTATGAGTTTCTTTCTTCTGTTGAACACAAAAGATGATGTTTTAAAAAATGTTGGTAACCAGACAGTTGACAGTAGCCAATGACTTCCATTATATATATTTTTCCAACTATGGAAGTCAATGGCTACCGTCAACTGTTTGATTACTGACAATATGCAAAATATCTTCTTTTGTGTTCAACAAGAAACGCATACAGGTTTGGAACAACTGGATACCAATTAGCTTGGATTAACAAATACACTCTTATTGTATGATTTGCCTTAGTTCAGAGAGTATTCTTAAGAATATTGCCAGTATCTAACCAGCATTTAGATTTGAAATACTTAAGTTGCGTCTCACCATGGGGTTTGAGTCAGAGATCAGGTCTTTTAGGGTGTCCAGGAAGCCCTGGTCTTCCACCAGCTGGGCGTTAATGTCATGGAGCTTAGCAACACAAACTGCAGCAGTCTTCCTCACATAGGGGTCTTCATCTTTCAGACACTTCCTCAGAGGTTCACACAGGTACTCCGTGATCTTGTCCACTCGGATGCAGCCCATGGTGCGCACAGCCAGCGCACGGATCAGAGGGTTTGGGTCCTCACAGTCCTGCAGAAGAGAGCATATAACCAACACACATTACACCTAAAACATAGACATTGTCAGATAGACACTGCGGTTCAAAATGTTTTTTTTTTTTTTTGAAAAATATCTCTCACCAACGCAACTTTATTTGACCATATTACAGTATAAACCGCACTAATATTATGGCAGTTTAAAAACACTCTGTTTCTGTGAAAGTCTTAGTGATGACGTTGAAAAGGAGATAAATAAAAACACAGATGCATAATACATAACAGATTCTCAAAGAGCTGGAAACTTTTTTTTTCTGTTTTCTAACTTGCTGTGATAGGCTTAAATCTTCAATCTAGTTAGTTGCTTTGGTAATGTGTCTCAGTGCTGATGGAGCACACTGCACCCTCCTATAAAGACTGACTATTCTAGTACTCAGAGAGAATAAAGTTTCTCTGCTGTTGCCAAGCTTATGACTTGCTTTTAAAGCACTTCGCTGTCCAGAATGTTGGTTTCATAACTTTAGAGTGCATTTTATAATGCACACTAGTACGGCTGTCACGACATTCAGATTCACTACATGACTACATGGCCAAAAGAATTCACAATAGCGATATCTACAGAAATCTTGAAAAAAATAATAATAATGCTATCAGTCAAATTCATCTTTACTCTTATTCTTTCATTCATATTCATTCAACAGTGGTTGACGAATCAGGGAAGGATACGTCATGACTGATAACACCCAATCATAGAGCCTCTGCGTCAGCATTTCTGAAGTCTACCGTTTCATCTCGTCTACACTAAAACGCCCTCCGGATATTCAAAACGCAAAACGGAGCTGCAGCATTTCTAAACTTCTCCGTTTTAGGTCTTCGTTTTTCCCGTTTTAGTCTGGACGGGAGTTGCAAAACGTAGCAAAAGGTCTCCGTTTTTAAATGAAAACGCAGTAGTGTGGACGGGGCCTAAGTCAATGTTTTCTCAAAACTCCCTATTGCAGCTTTAAATGTCTTATTATCATTAAAATATGACAAGATTACGACAGCAATTTTACGACCTTGTCCATCAAAACGATGGACAGTGTAAAAAGTGTAACGCGACCTCTGCCTGGAATATCTCCAGTTTTATTACTCCAATGAGTCTCACTTCTGGTGTGAGGGCACCCTCTGGAGTTGAGTATGAATGGCCAAATCTGCAAGATAACGGAGGCGGAGGTGGGTGAACAGGTTGGTGGTTAAATTTCTTGGCGTGCGGGTGTCTTGTCTCTCATATCCGACGACATGCTTTTTCCGACATTTAAGTTTTCTGCATTGGAAAGTAAAATAATACGTAATATCTATCTATAGCCTGTGCAAACTGCATCACAATATATTGAAAATACTAATAAATGCCTTAAAATAAAACAAAACTATTAAGCCGTTTCACTGATGTCTCTGAACCTTACCTTTACAAAGGTGTTCACTGCCATAATGGCCATGTCTGGTTGGCTCTTGGCATAATTCATCAAATACAGATAAACCAGCTTTTTCAGCTCCAGATTATCCGTCTGCATGCAGTTGACAACATCAGGAAACAGAGCACTGGGGACAAAGATATTAAGATCAAAAACTCCATAAACGCCATTCTGTTCCAAAAGATAAACATGATGGATGATATCGCATATAAAACCTCCTGTAAAAGAGTCGGACATTAATACTTCACTGTGAAACACGGCTTGTCTTACCTGACATCTTTTCCCACTGTCATAGACGCAATGACCTTCTTCACTGCCTCCTTTTTCTTCTCTTTCTTATCACTATTGAGCTCTGCCTTCAACTCAAAGATCTCCCCTAAAGGGTCAGACACACAAGACAACAGACATTTATGAATTTTTTTAGATGTCACATAACCCGTGAATGACAATGATGTGCTCTCAGAAAACAGTTTTCCTTATGCATTAAAAGAGAAGACAATGATTCAATCATAATTTGGTGTTCACCGTTTTTCTCGGCTTTGACCAAGTAACATGCAGCTCTATTTGCAGTTAAAAATACTTCTGGCACAATCATGTGACTGATTTAGACTGCCACACAATTACGCAATATTAGTAGCCGCTAGTACACCATGTTCTGCAGAGTAAAAAAAATAAATAAGCAGGCATATGTAGCAAAGTGCTAAATGTTGTTCCCATGTTGTGCAGTGCAGTTGATGATCTGCATTGGCCACAACAGACACACATTTCATGACTTAATCTCACTGACTTAATGTGATGTACTAATCCCAAAACAGCTTTCTTTAAAGTAAATCGGAAAAAAACAGACCTTTCTTGGTAGTGGTGAAATATTTGGAGTCTGTCATCTTGGATCCCAAGCCTCGGTTCTCCTGCAGCAGAAAAGAAAGAAACATTCATAAGCACTCCACAAGAAAAGTGAGGAAGAGAATAAAGGGAGGTAGGATAGTGAAAATGTGCAAGCGCAGGGGAATAAGAGGAAGTCGAGTCCCTGTCCTGCTGATACCTTCACTGATGTTTCTTAGAGATTGTGGAGTGGGGTAAAACATATTGTTAAAGCTTCTTGTTCTCTTTCAGTCAGCAAATTATACTTTCTGTGCACAATGATTGCCTTCTCACAGTCTTTAAATCTGCTGGGAAGAGTTTCCCATTTCCTGTTATTGCACATTAGACTCTTGCCATCACCTGAAAGGTCTTTTAAAAAGAAGATTCAGCTGATTCAGCTGGAGTGATGACAAGTTTTTTTATTTGTGTACACTACTGTTCAAAAGAGTTGAGGTCGGTAAGATTTTTAAAAATGTTTTTGAAAGATCTCATGCTCAAAGGCTGCATTTTTTGACACATAAAGATTCAGTCAAAAACTGTGAAACATTATTACTAATAAAAGTAACTTTTCTACATTTTACTCCATTACTCAAGTCTCAAATCACATGATCCTTCAGAAAAAAATTTAATATGCTGATTTGGTGTTCAAGAAACATTTTTTATTTTTATCAAGGTTAAAAGAGTTGAGCTGTGTAATATTTGTGATATTTTTTGTAACAATGTAAAAGTCTTAAAGGTTCTATATGTAACTATTTTTATAAAATGAATCCTTTTTTTTATTGCCTGTGTTTGAAGGGGTTGTAATCACACATTGCAACGATCCACTTTTCGGGTTTTGCCATTACCTCTGAAGGCCAATATTCTTATTTATATGCGAGGTCTCCGGGTCGGATTTCCTGCGAAATCCATCAGAAGTGACGTGCATGCGCGCTCCCGAGTCCCGAGCCTCTCTATCCTACAGTCTATCATGCGACCAACGGCACTTCAGCTGACGACATGGAGTCTGATAACCCCCCAAAACGTCCTGCCTCCAGCACAACACAAACGTCAACACACTCCACATAAATATAAAAAACAAAAAAAGTTTTATCTGCTCAAGCTCGTCAGGCAAAACGTGAATCTGATCGACTCCGGAAGAAAACGCGGATCAACATAGTAAACTCAAGTGAAACGACAAGGTAAACTACAACATTACATGAATACAAAATAATGTTCCAGGATAACATTTGTATAACATTTAGTATGTAACTTATTTTATTTACTAGATCTAACGTACTGACTGTCGTCATCCCACTACCATATTGTTTATACACATTTCACGTTCAGTACAGTATTGTTACTTCCTACGATCTTACTGATACACTGAAACTGTTCAGTTTAGTTCACTAACCGTTTTCGTTATCATCACATTATACATTCACCTATGTTGACATTGCTGATTGTGAAAGATACAGGAATAGTTCGAGAAATGGCTTATGCTATATAACATCACATGTCGGCTAAATGCATTTATTGTAACATTATGATCATAGTACGAGCACAGAGCATTACTTCAACGTCAAGCTGATAAAAGTAGGCTATTATTGTACCTGCAGTGGGAGTTTAGATTAGTTTCCAGCATGTGTGATAATTAGGGCTGGGTATCGATTCACATTTCAATTTCGATTCGATTTCGATTCACAAGCTCTCAGTTCGATTCGATTTCGATTCTCGATTCAATTTTCGATTTCGATTCCTGATTTGATTCTCGATTCGACTATAATGAAGATGTAATATAAATCCTATATTTATAAAAAAGAACAGTGGACATAAGTTTACTAGTGGGTAATTAATACAAGGAAATTAAGAGCCATAAACCTGTATACAACTCTTTTTATTTACTAAATGCATACAAAGAATAAACAGGATTTTGATGCAATATACAAAAAAAGTCAGAACAGTCGCACAGCTTGATCAAACAGTATCATGTTATTTTATGTTTAAGATAGATATAGATAAATAAATATATAAATATTTAGACATTTTTTTTACATTGATCTTACCTAAATGGTAATGTAATTTTTTGTTTATTTTTGTTTTAAGAGTTTATGTATGGAAGCTTGATTTCAATCTTTGAATTAAATTGAAAAAAGTAGCACAAATAAATACAATAGAATAAAGACACAAATTAAGAGACATTTTGGGGTAGTTTTTTGGGTATGTCAGAAATACTACAGAAACTGACTAAAGTAATCCAATGTAAAATAACACTGGATAGTCTTTTTAGTCCAGACTGAATTAAATACAAAGGCTATTAATTCTGATTGCTTACAATTAATACTATATTCTGTTGTTATGACAACAAAATTAATGACTGACACAAATGGCTGCGTTCACTTTAAGAACTAGTGCGCGAATCCATTACTGTTTCATTAACTTTCTGTCACACGCGTTTAATGCTAATTTAAGACATTACCGACTGTCTTTACGAGGTTACTCACCAAGACCAGATTTTTGACATAATGTCGCGTGTTTTAACTGTTAAAGTGATATAATCCAGGGATAAAACTTTTGTTTCTGGCAAGCTGTTTGTGAGGCAGATTTAGGCTGTAACGTTACTGTGCACGCAGTGAAAGACATCTCTGAGAGTGCGCGAGCACGGGATAGTTTAACATTGCTTGTAAAACTTAAAAAGATGTGAAAATGATAAACGTTAGTTACGATCATAGGTTACGATGCAATGCTGGCCCGATTGTTAAGTGAATATTCCGTCATGTCCCGACTCCTAAACACGTGTGTGTATCGACAGCTGCAGCGCTTGGCGCTTGCCTAGTGCAGAGAGACGAGAAGATGCAGCACCGCGTCCGCGAGCCCTTTATATGGAAAAAATCGATTCGTGGCTGTTGAGAATCGATTTTGAATCGAACACATTTTAAAAAACGATTAATCGAAAAATAGATTTTTTTGCCCAGCCCTAGTGATAATTTCGCATTGCGTTGAAAGTCTCCGTGTGGCTGGTAGTGAATGATTGCTCGCTCTTGAGATTGAGCACGAGCACGAGCGCTCTTGTTGCATTCTGAAACATCACCGCTAGAGGTTGCTAAACGTTGCATACAGCACCTTTAACTGTCGTTTTTCATCAATTTAATGCAATACATACATCTAACATTTTAATTTTATTTACAGATCGTTAAACTTGTTAGCTGCCCGTTATTGGACACTTCCAATTACGTAATAAATTAAACATGGCTGAATACAAACAGAGACACGGGTTGTCCAAGATGAGTGTAATATTGGCAACATTAAAAATAGAGTAACTTTAACCTCATATTTTATACTTCAATTTAAAAAAATAAAATCGAGTGAAGCTTAGGATGAACATAAGAGGACAAAAACAGCCATGAATGTGTTGCATTTACAAATATTCTATCTTCCCTTATAACTTTTTCAGACTGCTACAATAAAGAGGCTGTAGAATTGTTATCTGTAAGCCTGAATTACCCATGTAACCCTGCTGACCATATGCAAACTTATTATGATCACCCATGAACCACGACTTATCAGTTAACGGTCACACCAGTCTAAGGCCTTTGAAGACAATACTCACAGACAGTACAAGGTAAGGCAACATTACAGTCAACTGACTCTGGACATGCATAAGTCATTCATTGTTCAAGCACTGCGGTGTTATTTCATTACAAAAACATACAAAATCACTACAATACATTAACTAACACCGCTTAGAAACAATTACCATTTTAGCCAGAGTTAAAAAAAAAAATAATAATCAGTAATTTATTAATTATATAAGCAAGGACACAACACATTTATCAAAATTGACAGTAAAGACATTTAGAATACTTTGCTACAAAAGTCTAAAAACAGTAAATGTTACAAAGTATTCATGTTGTCAATAAATACTGTTCTTTTGAACACCATTAATGCATTTTGTTTCTTGAGCACCAAATCCGCATATCAAAATGATTTCTGAAGGACCATGTGACACTGAAGACTGATGATGCTGAAAATGTAGGTTTGCCATCAAAGGAATAAATTGCATTTTAAAATACTGTATATTCAAATAGAAAACAGTTATTTTAAAACTAATTTCTGAAAGCTTTTAACATTGTAAGAAGAGCACAAGAATTAACCACCAATTTTGTCGAGAAATCAACAACTACATAAACCAACTTAACCAGTATTAGTTGGACTCAAAAATTGATACCGCCGCGTAAACAAGATTAGGAACAATAGACAGTATAACGTTGACACACACTTGCTATTGCTAATCTAAGTTACAGCCATTCCAGCATGTTCACATTTAACCGAAAATAATAATCTATCTCGTCAACCTGTGAGGCGGCGTCCCACTCCCTAGCTAGTGCAATAACTAACTTACAGATAAAGTAACGTTAGCTGTCAACTGTCAAAGAGCTGCCCTACACTACTAAACGAATGTTAACGTGATTCATTCAGAACCTGGTCGTAATCGTAAATGATTATTACCAACAATCGTAACATCACAACTGGTTTAAAGTAACGTTACGTGGCACAGCAGTGACTGCAGCAGGTGACAGACACACTCACTAATCTCAACCGCTTCAGTGGAAGTAAAAGCCACAGAGCTAACTAGCAAAACCCATTCATTACGTCCCGAATAGGAAATTTCAAACTCATTTAAACCCATATCTATCAACGAGTATTTCTTCTAACCCTTTAGAGCGAAATAGGCCGTCACTCACACATAGTTGACTTGCCCACTCCATTTTTGGCGGATGAATGAACCTGCTCGCGGAGATGTAGAGTCGATGGATGAGCTAGCTAAATGCTAACGGCTCGCGAGCTGAAGCTTCATGACCTTCTATAATCAGGGCTTATGAGAGCGCACAGTAATCCTTTAATCTACAGTGCGGTATTACTGAACCAACCAAGCAGTGCACAAAGCCATAGATGAGTGGAAACGAGTCGCCATACCTTAGTAAAACCAAGAAATGCTCCTTACCGAAGTGAAGTGAGTGTGTACAAGTCGGCCTTCTTCCTTCCCTCCCACCTTACATGTTTTGTCATATGATTCACACTTCCGTCTTCCGCCTTCATGGAGAAGAGTTTTATCAGGTTACACTATTTGCCGATTGCACTAAATTACAGTAAAATCTCAAATGATTTACAGATTTAATTCACTTACTACACAACTCGGATTTTGATATAGTTGTGTGAGGTAATATTACACCTGATGCTTGCACTTGATATTCTATGGGCAATATTATAGAGGGTGCAAAATTTGCTGGGTTATTCTGTAATATTTTCATCAAATAACAATATCGTCACCAATGTTTTATTTTTTATTTCAATGTTAAGTTTAACAAATTTATTTTATCTTGAACATAAATGTACATTTTCAAATGCAGAATATTTTGCAATTTTGTTAATTTTGTAAAGATTAGGATATACATATAATGGAAGACAAGCACACAACAAATAATTTGATCCAAAACATCTTTTATTACAAGAATTAAATTAACAACAATTGGTTTTCAAGGAACAGTGGAATGTTGGTCTTGCAATATTGCTATTCAACACAGACAAATTCCACAATGTCAAGACCTTACATTTTATTGTCATCATTAAAGAAAAATAATCAGCCAAAAAAAAAAAGCAATTTAAGAGTAAATCCATAGACATTCAAATTTCAAATCATCCAACAGCCTTTTCATTTATTGAAACCAGAGCGTGACTGTAGATTCGACGTGCATTTTGTAAATCACATCTGAACATCATATTTGTGTAATGCAAATTAGATGGTTCTGCTCAAGTAAATAAAATGTGTGAATCTACATGCCTTTAGTTCTGATGTCAATAATGAATAAAGAAAAACAGAACCCATTCATGCAATAAATTATTTAAGAAATGTCTATATGTGATTAGAAACGCATAAATGTAATCACAAAAGAAACATCTTTCTGTATTTTTTTTCTTGGAAATAAAAACAGAATAAATACGATTGGAGTTCAAATCAGTTTACTGTACAAATGTATGGCAGTTAATGATTAGATATTGAAAAGATAACTGGATGTGTAGTGTGTATATGTGACTATGAGAATTAGGCACAGCAACCATTAATGTAATCTGAAAGACTGCAGAAAGCTCAACTGTCCTTATTTGTATTTAACAAAGTCCTAACGTGTCACAGCAGGCATGCTAACAGTAATATGGTTGCAGTCATTTAGGCAAAACTTGAACACTGAAATCAATTCCCATTAACATCTCCCTCACTTTTCCTGACCCATTTTTGATGGCAGTTTAACAAGTAAACAATTCATCCATTCATTCAGAAACATACAACATTGTCCCTTTATGATAGTACAGTTTACACCCAACCAAATCACCAAGGCCTAATAACTTACTCATTCAATATAAATAAACAATCCAACGCCAAAGCAATATGTGTTTAGTGTAATTCATTTGACTGAACTCAAAAATGAAAATTCTGATATTATTTACTTTCCCCTTAAGTTGTTCCAAATGCGTATGACAGAAGATATTTTTAAGAATACGGGTAACCAAACAGTTGACAGGCCCCACTGACTTCCACAGTATAGGAGGAAAAAAATACTGTACAAGTCAATGGGGTTACCAACATTCTTCAAAATACCTTTGTGTTCAGCAGAAGAAAGAAATTCATACAGTTTTGGAAGAACTTGAGGGTGAAGAAATGATGACAGAATATTCATTCTGTACTGCAAGTCACACAACACATCTGACTTAGTCAAAGCATTCCACCACTTGGTGGCGCCACTAAACTTCAAAATAAACGTAATGTCTGATGATGATTACGGTGGAAAATATCACTACGTCATACACAGTTTTGGACTCCATATTGCTTTCACAATAAAAGTTCTGCAATAAAAATGATTTCCATTTTCTAGTTTGTAGTGATTTCCATGTTTTGAGAAACATCCTATTGATGTTTAATATAAGTGTCCTTCATTTCTCACTTGTAGATAATAAATCAAGTAATTACTTTAATTTAAACACAAACTTCAAAAAGAAGAATGCTAATAAAGCAGGATCTTGTTACCATTACCCTCACATGTGTGATTGTCACAGTTAACAATGGGCCAAAAAACAGAATCCAACACACATTCTCTACCTCACACACAGATATTTCCACCCAGATACATACACACAACATCCCGTCATCTCTACTTCACAAACACAACTTCTCATTCTTTAAGGCAAGAAAATTTGTCAAGGCAAAATTCAATAGCAACATTGCATAGCTAAGGCAGAATTAACATACTGAAATAAACAGCATTATGTTTTATACATTAGTATTAAATTCAATTAATAATTATATTTACATTACACGACCCCACATTTCAGCAAATGAACATATATTACATATAATCCTTTACATTAACCATATTAGTATGTACAAAACATAATACACACAAATACAAGATACTTGTCTGCCAAGGTGATAACATCCTCTCATAAACGTTTCTGAGATATCCTCAAAATGATGAAACAAGTTGATATTCCATTCTATTTAGCCTGGGCTATAAACAGTACAGTCATTTAATTGTATTTCCAATTTGGATTCCACATGGAAGTATGTTCAAAGCATCATTTAGGTGCTTGCCTTGCACACAAAATTACCCTAAAATTATTCCACCATCATCTTATTTGCTCTACGCGTTATACAGCTCGTATTCTCCAGTATACAGTAAACTCTGTATATTACAATTCCCTGATTAAAATGTCTATACTTTGTTCCAATCCTAACAAATGAAACCTGAACTAAACCAATGAGGACTAAAATTAGTCCTCATGGAACAAATTCAGAAAAAGGTAATAAGGACATGGACGTTTGGAGAAGCATTAAAACCGAGATCCCCTAAAGGGAAATGTGTTCATTTTCTTTCCCAAACAGAAAAAATATGACTCAATGAACGAAATCAAACATATCTCAGATGGTGCTGAATTACTTCAGAACAGGCTATGTTGGTCCAAGATGTCAAGAATGGCATTGGTAGTGTACTTAGCCCCTTTAGGACAAATGTATATCTCCAGTGAATTGACAATAAGGATTCCTGCTACATGTTGTACACCAGTCAGATGTGCAATGTCTCTGTCTTACAAATGTGCTTTTTTGCCACTCCTCTCTCTAATCTGACTGTAAAGCTGTATATGCTGAGCAAAGGAACATTAACCAAGGCTTGCGTACATTGTCATCATTCACTACATCCAAGCCTCATTGTCCAGGCTGGACTCTGAAGAGTAAGCACACTCTCTAGAGCCCATAGCCGGGGATCGCTGCTGGGGCTGGATGAGGTCCGCAAAGGCCTGGTGCAAAGCTTTGTGCGAGGGTTGGTTAGTGTTTAAACGTGGGGACTGTGGTGGGGTCTGGAGGGGAGACGAGTTGGCAGGAGACTGCCGACAATGATTTCTGTATTGTAAAGGTGTAGGGATGCGTGACGGGCTGTTCTCAGGTCTGTTGTCAGTGCGAGGTCTTATCCTTGGCCGCAGCTTGAGCTTGTAGATGGATGGCACCCTCTCTGTCTTCTTTTGACCCTTCTTGGAACGGAGGACGACTGTGCCATCCGCATCCCCATTGGCCAGTGGTAGAGGAGGAGTGCAGGAGCCTTCAGATGGAGGCTCACTCATGCTCAAGCACATGGAGGAGCTTTCACTGGAGGAGTCCTGGTAGGAACAGTCATCTAGAGGTGGTGGAGGGGAGGGAAATGACTCCGGAAGAGTCTGGACAGCATTGTCAAACGGTAGATCTTGGGGATGTGCACTTTGTGGCATGTTTCCCTCCACCACAACCCATTCCTCCAGGTCTTGCTGGCTCTCCATTGGCACCTCAGTCAAAGGGAGGCTTCCATTGGTGTCTTTGGAGAGGCACACTGATCTGGATAGGCCTGGATTTGAGGCTTCTCCTTCCTCTGTGGAGCTGGAGATGGCAGGGAGCTTACGGAGACCACCTTTACTACCCCATCGCCCTCCCTCCAGGAGCCCTCCATGAATCTGGCTATGGAGAAGGACAGGTGGGTCCTCGAGTGCACAGGCACGGTGATTAGTCCGTTTGGACTCTCGCAAATCAGGCAGAACTCCTACCTTACCTCCGACATTAAGAGACGACGTTGAAGAGTTAGACGAAGAGTAAGCAGAGTCTGTAACGTTAGTGTCACCTGAAGAGGTTGGGAGCACCCCTAAACCTTGATGGGAGACAGGGAGCTGAAGTGACCTCATTTCCCTTCCAGTGGACTCTTTACCCAGCCCAGCCTTGACTTGTTGCGTGTTGGCTAGGAACTCTGCCTCAAAGCTACGATACAGATCTTGCTCCCTTTGAGGATCCAGACTTGGCAGCAGGTGTAAACTAAACATACTCTTGTCCTCCTGGATCTCCTGCAGCTGGTTGTAGGGATTTGCCCTACTTCTTTGGTCTCTCCCTGTGGATCGTGCATTGTGAGCGGATCGAGGGGAACGTGGAGGGTGGAGAGGATTTGATCGCGGAGAAGAATGTGGAGAGCGCCGCCCTGGCTGTGTGACTGGGGGAAGCAACTTCCGGCTCCCAGAGGAAGGAGACCGAGGAGCAGGGGGACGTGGTGTTACCATCCCCTTTTTCGCAGGACTTCCGTTGGTGCAGCCTTTAACGGGTGAGTTTGAGGCAGAGGAGGATGTTTGTTTTCTGGGCATACTTCCACTTATTCTTGAGGATGCTGCGGGCATATTCTTGGGTCTCAGTTCATCTCTCCGATCTATGGAAAGCAGCTGAGGGTCTCTGCGGCGAGGTGATGATCCGGGACTGACTTCACCCAATCGGCCTCTAGGTGTCTTGCCCTGACTGAGGGAGCGTGGAGCTTGGAGCCTCCGTGGACCTTCGGGCCCCAGTGATCTGCCTCTCTCTGTGCGGGGTGTTCGATGTACCTCTGCCGGGCCCTGTGGTGGACTCGGTTTTAGGATTGAGGTGGACTGCGGTGCTGGGCGCTCTCTGGAAGCACTACGGGCACGGGTCTGAGGGGCTCTCAGGGCTGCTGCTCCAGGACGCTCAATAAGGTGTTTGCCCTCCTTACGGTTCACCAGCAGCACCACCTCATCTCCATGAGCATGCCGTGTACCCAGAGAGAAGCGACTTCCTCCTGTGCTTCCTCCTCCACCTTTAGAAGAGGCTGTAGAAGAGTCACTATCTCCTGAAAGTCTGCGAGTCATAAGATGAGATTCCTTATTCCTGTGTGTAAGAGAAAAGAGAGAAAGATATAGATGGATATATCGCAATGTACGAGATTACATAAAACCAAGCCAGGATTCTCAGATAGGTAACTGGCAGACATTTGTGACGTTTTTTGTGTCACATATACACCACCGTTCAAAAGTTTGGGGTCGATAAGATTTTTTCAAATGTTTTTTAAAAGTATTTAATCAAAAATACTGTAATATTGTGAAAAATTATTACCAAGTAAAATAACTGTTTTCTATTTTTTAATATCTATTTTAAAATGCAATTATTCCTCTGATGGTAAAGCTTAAATTTCAGCAGCCGTTATTCCAGTCTACGGTGTCACGTGATCCTTCGGAAATCATTCTGATGGGCTGATTTGTTGATTCTTTGCTCATGGCACATTGCTTACTATTATCAATGTTGAAAACAGTTGTGCAGCTTTTTAATATTTTTTGTAAAAACCATGATATATGTTTTCAGGATTATTTGAGGATGTTCAAAAGAACAGATTTTATTCGAAATATAATTTTTTGGAAACAATATTACAGCCTTTTGACAACATGGGGACTCTCTATGAAGTGTGCAGGGAGCTGAATGTAGCCATTTCTTTGGAATTAAAGGAACCATCAAAAGAGGGAGGGAGGGAGGGAGAGGGATTACCCATTCTCTGGCTTTATGAAACACATACACTCTTGAACTACTACTGAAGTTTTAAGAATGAAACTGACATTGCCACTCTTTCATGTAACCCAAAAGAATGTGTTATGTACACAGAGCCAAAAAAATACAAAAAACAAACAGAGTCTGCATATGAACAAAATGTACTGCTAAGAAAGTAAAAAATTGCACATCCTGACAGCTTGGCTCTGTAATGTGATCCTACATAAACCTGTTGTGCAGTGCTGACCTGTTTCTGCCATGACAGACCTGGGGGCTGAGATTATCCTAATCTTCAGTAATCCAGCCTGTCTCACCTGCAGCTCCAGGAGTGCAAGTGTTAAAGTGTGCTGCTCTGATGCTTGGCCTGCATCATTAGTCAGCCTAAGGAAACCGAGGCACACAGCCAAGATAAACCAGCAAGCTGTTCGTGGTGCAGTTATACAATGCCCTCACTGCAAACATTGACGCACAAGTATTCCCCACCATCTGATGAAAATAATAAACCTTTTACAACTTCAGCATTTTTTTCTTTAGTCTTAGAGTGCAGTAATGCATGGCTTTACACAGTATTGTTTAAACAAATTTTTATATATATGTCCCTTTGCTATGGAAATAATGTTTTTTATTTAATTATCCAAGACCATGTTATCCTTTGCATAATTAGGCAGAGAGCACTGAGGCCCTGTGAAATTGTATATAAATTTTTTTTTTTTTAAAAATCGAACACAAGGGGGAGTCACAAACCAGACGAGAAGAGGATAGATGTCATGGCAATGTCACCTGGGATTAGTTCAAATCTGCTTGCAATAATCTCTGTGTGTGTGTGTGTGTGTGTGTGTGTGTGTGTGTGTGTATTTGTTTGTTTGGTGCACGTGCACTGTTGCCTTAAGATGCAGCTCACTCTGAAGGTACAGTGCACAGAGTGCTATAATTTGTGTTGATTTAACTAGGTCAGTGTGAGCAAATGGCAGACACCCTAAGGGATCTACACAGACAAAACAACAATACAAATGCGCTATCATGCATATGTCCCAAACATAACGCTTCAAGAGTGCACAAATTCCATAGCCATTCACACATATAGTGGTTCTGTGAATATTTTTCTTGATTTTCTTTTTTTTTTTTTTTTGTAATTGTCTGTACTTTTCATCAGTATTCATATTTATTTCTGTATGGAGAAGGCAAATCAGTAAGCAAATATTATACTATGAAACATACTTTCTTTTCAAAATCCATTCTTAAAATCTATATTTACAATATACATGATTTGATTTATGTATTGTTTACAAGATATGTTGTGTACACTTATATACAAAGTTTTTTTTTTCTAAAATAAAAAAAGTTTTTCAATTCAGTTTTTCAAAAAAAAAAAAAGACTTTCATTTTCTATTTCTAAGTGCCTTTGTTTCCAGTGTGACTTTTGGGTACTTTCCTATTTGAGGTACTTTCCTAATTGCCGTAAAAATGCACACATTCACACTGCTAAACACCCAAACACACCTGCACTGACCTGAGAGGATTAAAGTGGCGAGGTTCTGATCTGTCTCGTGGTGGTCGAGGCAGCAGTGTTGTGGGTCGTACTGTGTTAGTTTCCATCTCTACAGGCACAGCTGCATGGTGCGACCTGCCAGGGCGGGATGGAGAGGAATGCGCTGTGGCACCCAACACAGGGTCCAAAGAGCGCCTGTCGGGTGTTTTGTAGGGCGCCATGCCCTCATTGCGCCAGTGAGGTCCTGGGCTTGTGGAGCGGGAGGAATGAGTGCTCGAGCTCTTACTGTGAGGACCCTGGCCACTCGCTTTAGCCTGCTGATACCGGTGCGCTGTTGAGGTCAAAGAAAGGCATCAGAAGGCTCTTTTAATATTCACAAAAAAATGATGATGTATTTGAACATAATAAATGACTTTAAACCTAATACTGATGTAAATGGGAATTTCACAATGCGGTTACTCACTTAAATGAATGCATTCTCATGAAAAGGCTCTTTATGTCTTGTACAGTACCATTAAAAAAATAATCTAAAGAAATTACTTATCCATTTCAAATAAATGCTATTCTTTCGAACTCTCTAATCCTGAATACAAAAATTCTAGGTTTCCACAAACATATCAAGGAGCTCAACTAGTTTCAACATTGATAATAATACAAAATGTTTCTTGAACACCAGATCATCAAATTAGAATGATTTCTGAAGGATCATGTGGCAATAAAGACTGGACTAATGGCTTCTGAAAATACAGCTCTGCCTCATCACAGGAATAAATGACATTTTAAAATATATTAAAATGGAAATTAGTTTCACAATTTTGCTGTTTTAATGCTTAATGTTTGTTATTTACTGTACTATGTTTGATCAAATAAATGTAGCCTTGGTGAGCATATGAGACGTATTTCAAAAACATTAACACACACACACGCAAGTGGTGATCTGATCTCACCAAATGCAGCGCATCGACAGGGATCGTGCTTGTCGAGGTAATGCTCAAGTGTGTCCCAACCTCCACCCACACGCACCATCACATGAGTCCGTAACACCTACACACACAGAGAGAGAGAGAGAGAGGTTAACACCTTTCACGTATTCTTTTTTTTTCAAAAAAAGTATAACCTTTTTAAACAGATAAGCAAAGAAATGCAAATATATATATATATATATATATATATATATATTCATGATTATTGACTTAGAAATATGTTGCTGGTTCCAGATTGAAGAATAACTGTTAAATGGTAGATCCCAGAAGTTTTGCCAAATGTAAAATTACAAAACAGAATACAATGTACGAAAAGATTACAACTGCACAGTGAATAATGAACTGCATGTACATTGGTCACTTGATTAATTCATTAATTGTATTCCTCTATGTAATATACAGAGCTGTAAACCAAGAACTAACATGTAAATTCACTTTTTACTTATTGTGAAAAAAATTTCAGTGGTGCTCGTCCAGGCAAAAAAAGAGGGGTTTCGTACTGGCCCAAGTCAAAACATTTCTATAGGACTTTTTTTTTTTTACCCTTTTATTGTCTACCCTTAAAAATGCATAGACCTACACTTTATTAACACTTTATTTTTAAGTATCCTTATTACATGTTACATCTAGGTAGTATAGTAATAACTATAAATTATGCATAATTACATGCAACTAACTCTAAACCAACCCTAATCTTATCCCTATAGAATGGGCAATCTTCAAACACCACTAATAACACAGGTGGGACAACATAACAGTCAGTTGATTAATATATGATCAACCCCCAGTGTCCTATAGCACTATATAACAGAGCTCTCTCCACCTCACCGTTCTCCACCGCCTTCATTATCATCACAGCACGCAATGACAGTGCTGGAGAGAAAACAAAAAGACATCACGCACCGACACTTTTTCAACCCCCTTACGGCTGGTATTCAGAGAGGGGGCAATGAAGGAGATTTATCATAGAAACAAGCCTCCTTTTTCTCTGATGATTCCTTTAATCAAGAAATGCTCAGTCAGGAAAATGTTCTCTTTCACATTTTCACTGTTGATTGTGTACTTCGTAACTGTTGCATCAAAGCTCTTTATAGACTCGGTATTGCTAAACTCCATCTGCTGAGCACATGGTAAGGAATAATCGTGTGTCGAGTGTCTGTGTGCGGTTGCCATGAAAAGAAAGCACATCCACTGGTTGGCACAATGCCTGCCCGCACACTCATTTTTGCAAAGAAACAGTCATACAAGCTAAATTGAACTATAAAGGGCTGTACAACTAATAAAAAAAAATTAAAAGATAACTTGGTGAAGGTGAATGTTTAGGTCTTGATTTACTGACGTACAAAATCAAGTTGCTATTACAACACACAAAGCCATATAATATTACCAAAATAAAGGCAGCACAAAATAAGAAGCCGTGTTTTTATAACTACAGAACAGCTGACGGAGTGAAACAGAATGCATTTATCATTTAGAGATGCATTTATCAAAGCTGAACTACTAAGTCTTAAACAACAGATACACCAACATGATTGCAAAATGTTTTGCTGTGAAATTTAGTTTTATTCAATTATATAAAAAAAACAACAAACCATATCGACTCGACTCCAACAGCTTTTTTGTATACGGTGTTTTGTGTAATCAATACTTTGATCCAGTTTATTCAGGATTCTTTTATGAATTGAGAGTTCAAAAGAACAGCATTTATTTGAAATAGAAATCAGTACATTGTGGCAGACAAGTTTAAATAACAACAACTGTTTTTAACATTGATATAATAAAAATGTTTTTTTTAAGCACAAGATCAACATTATTAGAATGATTATGTAACACTGAAGTAATCACACTGAAGTAAATTGAAAATTCAGCTTTGTGAATGACATTACAAATTGTATTTTTTTAAAGCTACACTGTGTGATTTTTACCCCCATCTAGCGATGAAAAGGTATATGACCATCCAGTGAATATTAGTTTCAGTTCCTCTCAATTCCGATTTTGTTTTAACACCTACGGTGGCCAATGTAGTCCAAGATTAACATGGCTTCCAGTTCGACCTCGTCCATGAGTGTTAACTCAAACGTAAACGCGAAAGGTGAAGCTTGAATTAACGGGTATGTCCCTCTTTGGCTAATGTACTTTCAAGATGGAGGGGCAACATGGCGACCGACATTAGAACCCCTTGCCCGTATGTATTTTCAATGGCATATTATACACTCACGAGAATACTTTATTACTTGAACGAAGTAAATATACTGTAGATTAATGAGCACATATTTTTGAAAGAACTAAGTGTTTTTAGCTGAGAATAAACTAAAAGAGTTACACAGTGTAGCTTTAAAAAAGCTTTTTTTTTTTTACTGTAGATAAAATAAATGCAACTTTGGTAAGCAATAAGCATAACATATTTCGTTTCTTCATACCGGTCCCAAACTTTTGGACAGTAGTGTAATGCCTTTGGATAATCATCCTTTCAGAGATTTTCTCTGCAAATATTGGTATGAGTGATTATAATTGAAATCCTAAGTAATTAGGTCCTAATGTAATAATTGACCAATGGGAGAGCAGCACTCTTTAATAGCTTTACTCATCTGCCCTTTCATAAGCAGTTAGGATTCAGTCACCATGGCAACAGGCAGATACATGCTGAAACCATAATTATAATAATCACCGTGTAAACAAAGCTAAAGTTCACTTGTGCCAAGGTCTAAATCACCAGCAATCGCAAGTTTTATTCAATTTACATCATCAATATGAGCACTGAGCTTCTGAGGGTGACAGTCTCAAAGTCATCTTATTTCTCTTGCTAATCACCTTCCTTCTTCTTCATTGATGTCAACACAGAGAAGCTGAGCCAGGCATGCTTCACTCCACACTGTGATGCTTGTGTTAAATGCACTGGCGAAGGATGATGGGTCTATGTATAATGATAGGCTCAGTAAATAAAAGGGTTCAATCTAACAGCACCAGCTAAGTTGCACACACAGATCTAACAATAGTGCGCGTACCACACACACCACAGAGGAAAAAAAACAGGCACAGAAAGAGAGCAAATTAAGACAGATGACGACAGAGAGACAGAGGGGGAATATAGGGTTGCAGTTACACCATCTATGCAGAGCAGAATGATTTTTAATTGATTCAGCCCAGCTGCATTGGAGGAAGATAAAATTCCTTCCCAAATTTCCTCCAGCTGAGAGTGAATATCTGTAGACCCGACAACACACCCAAAAATTAAAATTCTGTCAGTATTTATTCACGCTCATGTTGTTCCAAACCTCTATGTGTTTATTTGTTCTGCTGAACACAAAGGAAGATATTTGAAAGAATGTTTTAATCAAACAGATCTCATTCCCCATTGACTACCATAGTAGGAAAAAATACATACTATGGTAGTCAATGGGGATTGAGATCTGACCTCAGATCTGTTTGAATAAAACATTCTTCCAAATATCTTCCTTTGTGTTTAGCAGAACAAATAAACACATCAAGGTTTGTAACAACAAGAGGGTGGGTAAATACTGTTAGAATTTTCATTTTTGGGTGATCTATCCCTTTAAGAGACATAGATAAAATGCATGTAACAAATACCCATGAAGTCATGCACACACACTCACGCATAAATCCAGAGATCTAGGTCTAGAGGACAGGAAATGACCCAAGTCTCTATTTCTGTTCGCAGTATGAATGGGTGTGGGCGCTTTTAGATGAAGCTGGATAACAGGCTAAGTCTTGAATAGGTCAAGCTTGGCAACTGTGTAAACAGCATTCAAACCTCAGGATGGCTTATTATGGAGCTATAATTATTATAGTCTGACCTCCATTCTGGAAATGTTAAAGATCCCAATGATACAGCAGCACAGATTCAAAGAGTAAACACAGAATCGATGGTTTGATGTGGGTGTGACAAAAGCATTTGTACTAAAAACTTTGTAATAAAAGAAAGTAAAGTGTATCATTCTGTGCCACCAAATGAAATGGCAATAATAATTGTTTTCAAACTGATTTCCCAGAAACTCCCCCATTCAAATGCAGAAGCTATTTCTGTAAATGTGCGAGACATTGTGGTCAGTCAAACAGTCCCACTCCAAACTCACACCATTGGTTAAGGGGTTGTTGTGTTGGAACTTAACTTGCCTCAACTTATTGCTAATTTTGCATATATTTAGCATATTAAGCTATATTAAGTCTGCTGAAAGTTAATAAAAGTTGTACCCTGATGAAGATGAGTGCACTGGAGTCGCCCACTTTGTACTTTCCTTCTGAGACTTTGGTCATTGGAAACTGTGATGGACAGGAGCACTGGCCCAGAATCTCCCGAACCTACAAAACACAATAAAAGCTTATTAAAAAGATCATAAAATATGTAGACAATCAATCATGGTTAAAAGTATATTGATAGAAACAATCATTTAATCACATAGCAAATGTTCCACATAGCAAAACGTATCTGCCATATACTGGGTGGCCAATACCATAGAATGAAGTTTGCAAAAGATATACAGGCCTGTATGAATGAATAAATACTACTTTACCAATATAAGCAAAAGAAAAAATGTGTTTTAAAAATAAAACAGTTACTACTGTAACTTATCTATTATAATAAATTACTTTCAGTATATTTTTATAGACAATATACATTTCTGCTTGATGACACCAACCGATTTCTAAAACAAACATGGTAAAAGTAAAACTAAGTATTTTGGACAAAAATATGAACAAATTAAATAAAAAGTAAGATTTATTCATATTTTTTGTTTAAATTAATACTCATATGGGAGTTAATATGAGTGTTCACAAATAGGATGTGATTCTTTACTATTCAGTTGCTTACTGGCTAACAGCAGACAATAAAATACACAGTCACACTCCGAGACAAACGTTCCACTGAATGTTCCTCAGCACCTGAACAGAAGCAGTTTCCTGTGAGAAACACTGAGTCACATCCCTCACTTCGCTTCAACTCTCGTGTTATCGAATGAAGGACGCTGGGAGCTTGTTTGAGCGTGTGAACGGATAATATGTAACTTCTATGTAATGCATCATAGGTTGGTCTGTAATTAACTCCTGAGCGACTCATCGAAAGAGCCAGACCTTTCCAATTCCTGTCACACCTTAATTGAATCACTCCCTGGAGAAAACGAACAGTCTCTCAGTTTCTTTATCCATCTCACTCTCTCTAAAGTACAAACAGCGAAACAAAGAGCCATTCCCTAAAGTTGCGTCATCATATCCTGATGAGATCTGGGACTTGCCCAATGATTAACTCACAGGCACATACATACAAATAAAACAATAATGCATGTGAAAGAGCGTGACGTAACCATGTGGTTGCATGCATATTTTTTGATTTAGAGTGGTCAGGCTGGTTAACAGTACAGAATGGGTGTGGTGATCATGGTCTTGCGCAGGCTCTCATTCTGTCTAGTTCTCTCTTATGTTGCTCTGTTCTGTTTGCGGTCATTGAAAAGACTCTCTTAAATGAGTGTGACACCATAACAACAAACAGGGCAAAAGTCCAGAAGATCAATCAAGATCATATGAAAGAACAGCAATGTTAGAACAGGGTTGAAACTCGTACGGCAAGACAGTACTCATTTTCACTCTCACACACCTCTGTCATTTAAACAAAGGATGAATATGACACAGACACTTAGCAAAAAAAAAAATATCACTAATTAACTTCCAACGTCTCTGTGGGTGTACAATCTCATAATTTCAGACCAAAATAAAAAGAAAAGATTAAATTAATTCAAATGTATTCATTTCAAAAAAGGAAACACGGAAAAAATATGTTATATTGTAACATATTTTAGTAATTATTTATGCACATTTAATAAGCACACTTTCTTCACCAGATTCACATGCATAAGACTATATTCTACCATGTTACAAGTGTGGGAAAGTTAAACTGTACACTTTGAGGCGTCTTTGCTTACATTGGACTGCTCGTGCAAACACACTGGAAACTCGTCTTTATTTCCTACATGGACAAATTCAACCGAGTTTCCACAGATGAGAGACAGCAGGCTGGCACGATGGAGAAGATTTATTGCCACACACGTGGTCAATGTCGTTTGATCGACTGTAGTTGAACTTGAAGGCTCTAGACTAGAACAGCCTGTGAATAATTTTAATTTTCCACATTACTGGCCTATTTGGAAAATTCAAGAGTTAATGCTGGAATATTCTATAATTAGACTCAACTTCATGTCTATTTAGGCAGCATGTGTCTGACAGTTACCACAGAACCAGAGAGAGCTGTAATACATATTCTCTCTCTCTCTCTCTGTGAGTCAGTGAGCAGTGACCACCTTAAAAGGTGTCTGTGGCAATAGTTTCTTTCCATTACATAGTATCTGTACGACAAGCAAATGACGTGACAACAAAACCAAAATGCTTCCATAATAAACGACAAAGTCACCAACATCATTCACACAAGTCTTAAAGGTACGGTAGCAAAAACGTCTTACAGCAAAACCTCCCACAAGCAGCCAAAATTGTGTTGTATCTTCACAAAACACTTCTGCTGTGTGGAAATGTGGCTCTGTTCAGAAAAGAATGAGATTTCTGGGTTAGTACGCATCGATGAGTGTTTCTTTTAGTAATAGCCATACATTTTGAAATAGCCTAGTTGTTATAAGTTGGCCATTGAGAATTATAAGAAACTTGATTCAAACATTATAAGGGCACATCAGGGTAAAAAAAAAAGATTAAATGCTACTTAAGTACAAAATATGGAGCCTTAATGTTCAATATACTGTTTAAAGTCTCTGTCCAGTAGACTGAGAAAAGTTTACAATGAGCTCTGCCATTCAGTGTAGCAAAACGGGAGAGGGCAGATTCCCTGAAACGTTCTCACAGCATTTCTCTGTTGATTTTAGCTGAGTAACCACCCTTGCCAAATGTGAGACATGGAGTAGCATATACTGTGTGCAAACAGAGTAGACAATGAGATGTGTCTGTGAAAGATTCAACCTAGAAAATGGGAAAATGCTGGTTCTGCACTGCTCTGAAAACAGTGATAAGAGATGTGGGTCACACAAGAGATAATACAAGCACCATAACAGCTCTCACTGATAACTGCAGTCTGTGTTACGGATGCAGGGATCTCCTGGGAAAAACATACTGACAGAAAGAGAGAGGAGAACACCTGACGGAGGAGAGGGGGTTGAGAGAATATGATAATGAACAGTGCTGACAAAGTTGACACATTCCTCATTATTTAGTAGCGAACACATTTATCTAAATCTGATTTGTTGTTCAGTGTGATTTCTAAAAAACAGCAGCACATGTATCTATGTTCAGAAAACACACAAACAATTACATTGTTGCTTTATTTCTATTTCAGTTTCAAACAAATATCTTTTTTAGTTAGGTTTTTTATGGACAAATTAAATTATATGATTCACAACAATTTTTACAAATCATGGCGCTTGAAATAGGAGTTAAAGTGTGAATTTGTGTTTTCCAAAAAGCAATTTAAAATGCTAAAAATGAAATCAATCATTGAGTACTTTATATAATACTAGGGCTGTCAAACGATTAATCGTTAATTGTATCCAAAATAAAAGTTTGTGTTTACATAATATATGTGGGTGCACTGTGTAAAATTATTTTGTATATATATAAATACACACGCATGCATGCATGTATCTTTAAGAAAAAATATATATAAAATATTTATATAATATAAATTATATATAAATCTATATAAATTAAAATATTTACAAGCATGTGTGTGTATTTATATATATAAAATAATTATACACAGTGCACCCACATGTATTATGTAAACACAAACTTTTATTTTGTGTGGATTAATCGCGATATACGCGCTTGGGAAGACATGAGGGACGGTGAGTCATTAATGACATCATATTCATTTTTGGGTGAACTAACCACAATTGTTATATTGATAATTTCAGAGTCTCAAGATAGTTGGACCCCACTGTATACATTTAGAGGCATATTTCCACTAATTAAAAAAATTAGATTAAATCACATTGATGCCAAAAAAACTATCTTATTTATCTTTTCTTATTCATCAATTATTTGAATTAAAAGACAATCCTAATGAACATGGCATTAAAATAAATGGTGTCATTTTTAAGGAAAAGGAACAAACAGCCTCTACGTGTGCTTTCAGAAATCGTCGTTTTGTTTTTGGTTCCACCAGCAGACCATCCCGAGTGCTGTTATCAGTGCTGCTGCTTTGCCTGAGCGCATGTCTGGAGGGAACGCTCGCTGTTTATCACCCTGCTTCCTCTACCACCGACACAGCAGCACTATGGGACTGGGAGACCCAGCATCAAAGACACAGAGCTGGGCGCGGTCAGCCCAGAGATGCAGACGGGGAAATGAAGCATCTGAGAGATAGTGAGCTGTATCTGGGTCTCTGATAACTGCAGGCTACCCGATACTTTGACAGAGGGGATATGCAGAAGGCCAACTGGGTAAAGAAGGGTGAAGGATCCTTCCGGGTCAGATGTAAAAAGGCCTTGGGTGTGGATTGTTTTTGAATAGCCGTATCATTTCTCAGTAAGTGCGTGACTGAGTGTCTCAGAAGAGTTGTGTGTAAACAGACTCTCAAGTGAAGTGAAAAACAGTGGTAGACTTGCATTCACACTTACGAAAGCAGCCTCATTAAGGGACTTCAGAACTCTTTTTTGATGACACTGACGGCTGATACCAATAATTGAAGCAAATATTATATTTTGGAGAAATATTAATGCGTTAGTTGTTGTGTGGAAAAGTGTTTTAAAAATGGTTTACCTCACTACTGAATAACCACAATATTTAAAAACTATGGCAGTGTTTGAGCAAAATCTACCACACAGAAAGACATTTGTTGTTTCAGTTGTGCAAGAATGAGAAATCTGTTTGCTGAGAAGTTTATATCTGATTTCATTGCTCTGGGTGGGTTCCAATCTAAACATGATCATGCCTTAAATGTAACAAACTGCTCAGGAAACAGAAACGGTTTTAACATCTCCAGGAATTTTTATATCTTCACTGATCTGAGCTGTATCAGCTGAAACCAACCTAAGGTCAACAACAGTAATGCAACAACTAATAAAATACAGATCTTCAACATCATTCCAATATCTAGGTCAGTTACAGGTCTAACATATTTTAAACAACCAAAAGAAGAGACCTCATGTCATTTAAAGGGATAGTTCAACCAAAAAAGACAAATCTGAAACGAAATTCAGTTGGATGTGACTAAACCCATTTGACATTTTTCAAAATATCTTCTTTAGTCTTTGGCGGAAGAAGGAAAGAAAGTCATGCAGGTTTGGAACAACATGAGGGTGAGTAAA